GGGACAGTGTCTCACCACCCTTAGAGTAAAAGACCTTTTTCTCACATCCAACTGAGACTTTCCCTCCTTCAGTTTGAACCCATTACCCCTTGTCCTGTCATTGCAGTTCCTATCAATATCTATCTGTATCTATCCTGTACCTACTGACAGAACCTTGTCTAACCTCCTTCCCAGCCTCTGCCGTCTACTGTTCCCTTCTCACATGAGAAACTTCCTGAATCTCTCCTTTGCCTGACTCTCTGCTCCCAAGAGTAATTTTGATGGTCAATGTACCTCCACCAGCAACTGTATGTGCCTGCTCACCTCTCCATCTGCTTAGCACAAATATGTCTCAGACATCCTCCAGTGCTGGTTCTGCAGAGACATTTTCCTGTATAAAGGTCTACAGTTCCACACTATATTCCTGTTCAACCCAAAATATGCCACCAAACTCCACTTAAAAATCTGCTCTTGCAATACACCTGATCTCTTTTTCACTTCTGCTGTGAGGAAGGATTTGAAGTCCAGTGTCCCTCCGCTGTGATGATGAGTTGCTGAGAAGAACTGTTGAACTTCACCAAGCAAATCCCATGCCCAGTCTACATTGTAAACCACTCCTGTCTAATAATGTTCTTCTAAAAATACATAAAGTTTGACAGTGGGGCAGAACTGTTAGAGTTACCTAGACAAATATCCACTAAATTTGTCAGTGACTGATAGACTCAATCAGTTGTGCAGTAAATGTGGAGCATCTACTCTTGCCTAATTGAACCCTGTTAAAGTTGCTACTTAAAGAGCTGGATTACAAGGAAAAAGACTATTTCTTGAGCAATGCATCATCTAATATCCTCCTGCCTCATGCAGTTTTACTCATATTACAGTGTAAAAGGACAGGAAAAAGTGAAAGTAAACTAAACCTGGATACTTGTCAAGTAAACAAAGGGAAATTATCAATCCTGGAAAGACACTTGATAGGAAGTGTCTCAATTTTCAAGCTACTATAGCACTTTTTTCCTGAAGTGACCCCTATATTTGAAGCTACCAGTGTAGCACGAGGCAGCCTGATTTCAGCACATGTGTTTTGCCTATTGATTAGGCTCAGTGCAGAATTATTTTTCCCCTCACTTACTGTAAACAAGGTACAAAATTAGAAGCTTGACCTGTGTCACTGCTGATGATAACATATGACTGCCTCCCACTGATTCTCTTGCATCCAGTGGATGATCACATTTTAAAAAATCCATTCACATTTCAGTCTGTCTAGTGCTCAGCCTGAGAATCATTGCTATCAGGCATAATCAGTGCTGAATGCTGCATTTCAGAACCATTTGCCATTGTATTTTCTTCTGTATTTGGAGAGAAGTACAGAAATAATCTAAAAGATATATGTATCCTTGGAGAAATCCAATTATTGCAATGCTTTTAAGTTTTCTTTTTGGTTAAGATTTCTGTTAAGACCATATTGCAGAACTGTCTGTATTGAGCACTGGTGGGAAAAACTATGAAAGCAGCAGATTAAATCTAGAGAAAATGTTCCTGATTATTTTCAGACTGTGCTCCTTAGGACTCTGAGTGTAGTTTAGAGCTTCTCAGTGAAATTTCAAGGTGTCTCTGTTTCCATTTCAGATCTTCCATCACTTGCTTTTGTGTGTTGGCACCCATCTGCAGATGTGTGCTGTGCACAGATGTTACAAGGTGCCCTTGACCACCTTTGTTCAAACCTGGACAAGACCTCAGCTGAAACTGCTGCCACAAGCCTATTGTTAATGTTATCCCCTTATTGCCCATCTCTGAGAGATGCCCCATGGCAGGCAGAGCAAAACATTCCCAGAGAGGAATGGGGGAATACCTGGCTAATTTGTGACTTTGACTCTTTATTTTTGGCAGGTTGGCATGGTGTGGATTGCTCAATAAATTGTCCCAGTGGTACCTGGGGGCTTGGCTGTAACCTGACCTGCCAGTGTCTTAATGGAGGGGCTTGCAATGCTCTGGATGGAACCTGTACCTGTGCCCCAGGATGGAGAGGAGAAAAATGTGAACTCCCTTGCCAGGTAGTTTAATAATTTCACTGGATTTTGCACTGTAGGATAATTTTGGGCAGGGGGAGGCTTCTGGCATTCTTTGGCTTCATGGGGTTACGTTCCTATGGAGCACCTGGTAGCCAGTATATGACTGGGTGTAAGAACAGGGGCATGCACAAGCAATTCTTGTGGAAGAGCCCTGCTGTGCAGCACATTAAAGACACAAAAAAGGACTACACAAAGTGAAGCTGTACGGGTGAACACTTTTTCTGCTGTTTTGGACCTCATTCTCACTAGCTCCTTTAGAATTTGTTGAGAAACAGAACCAAATCTGTATCCGTGTCAGTGCTATCAAACTGCTTCTGCTCAACTACCTTAGGTAAAAATTATGAGAGAATGTAACAAAAATATATTCCACACCACATAACTTTAATAAAATTTTCTTATGTCTGTGTTACAGAATGAATAAAGAACTTTCATTCCTTCTCAGTCAGACAGGCAAGGAACTCTTAGTGCCCAGTTCCACAAGAGGTCTTTGCCTTTCTGTTGAGCTTCTGACTTCTGCTCTCTCCCAGATTTTGAGAACCTCAAAATTAGAAATCAGTGTGAGGACAAAGTCAAACTCCTTACCAGTTCTGTTCCACCTTGTGATCTGTAGTTTGGGGAAGGCATAAAAATATATAATTTCAGACATATTCAAATGGCAAAATTCCAAGTAGATTGGCTTTACTGTGTAACTGTTTGATTTCAATTGCATTTCATACACAGGAGGAAAGAAGTATTTTATGCTAAATGGGATTTTCCAGGGTCCATTATTTTCAATGATGGATTTTTCTGGGAATGTTTTAACAAAATTAATTTTTAAAACAGAATTCTGTCTGCTCTCCTTTTCCTCTCCACAGTCATTTGTTCACTTTGCAATACTATCTGCACAGTGGGTTGTTGGTTTAATATAATGGCAAAGGAATCACCTGAACTGAACACACACCTTGTCAATTCTCCTCACATGCCACACTGAAGTTTCTTTTCAGTTTGGATGAGCTCTGCTGAGCACCAACATGGTGGGAGTGGCTGAACCATGACATAAGACTGGAAACCACAACCTCACCTCTGTTTTGGATGAAAGTTGTTCTGTTGAACTGCTCTCAGAAGTAATTTTTGGCACTTCGCTTTTAGATTTAGGATGAAGCATAGCACACACTAATGTAGTGAGTGAAGTGGCAAACAAGTTTGAATATGTTCTTGAGAGCTGATCAGAGTAACACCTGTGCACGTTCATGCAGAGGTTCCAACAATGCATCTCCATCCAAATACTCATTTTTCCTTTTCCTAAAGCAGCTTCGTTTATCACTTAATGGCTGATTCCTGAAGGGTGATGAGGTCTCCCGAAGCTTCCATTACCTCTTCCAAAACTGACTGTTTCATAGCAGTTGCATCACTACCCCAAACTTAGTAAAATAATGCTGAAAACCATTTCTGTATCAGATAAATTAGCATATCCATGGTCATTGTCTTCCTCTCCCTACTTTCATCTGTGCCAAACAATGTCCACAAGCATTTATGTATTTCAAATGCATATTCTGCTTCAAAATTCCAGAGCATAAACAGAAAATGAATTCAAGTATGTCCAGAGTTGTCTGTAATTCTTTTCTTGTTGAGCACAGACTTTGTTTAAATCAATGTATTTAAATTTGTTTCAGTAACTTCAGAAAATTTATTTTACTGCCCAGATTGTTGCTCAAGGTTTGACTGAAGTTTGGACTTCAGTCCAAATACAGAGAAGGCTAAAAATACTGCTTTTCAACAACATATTTGAGGGGTTCCTTTCATTCCAAATCTGATTATATGCAAAGGAAATGCTTCATCTTTTCTGTATATAGATATGTATTGTTGGGATGAGCAAAAGGCTCCTTACACTCAAGTAATGTAAGGCTTTGTTCTACTTCAGACTTGAAAGACTGGGAATTGAATAGCTAAATCCTGTGGCACTCAGCTGAAACATATGCCTGAACATCAAAGAATACCAGATGAATTTCCATATAGGTTATATTCAGATTTTAATGGGACTGAGACAAATTTTTAGCCTTCAGTTTAAATGACTGGGTTTTAAACCTGGCATGTTTTTCCCTTTTTTGCCTTTGCTGTGGGTAACCCTGAAGTATTAATGTAAACTATACCAGATTTTTTCCATGTGTTTTTTAATTTGGTTTCAACACTTTTTTTCATGCAAAATCAATTTACTGTTGTTCTTTGCCTTGTTTTGAAGCTGCACGGGTAAAGATTTTGCTCTTTTCAGTTTCTCAGGTTGATTTTGTATGAAGTTACCCACAAATGAATGTGCCATCTTCTACAGAAAGAAGCAGAAAAGGCAAATTCAGATGTTTAGGTGCAGTTCATTGAAAATCAGCTTCGCTTCTGGCACAGCTGAATACACCAACAGGGGTGTGCAACTTGTAGTGTTAATCTTTGTTGTTGGTCCAAAAAATGTTGTGAGGCTGAAAAGGTTTGGTTTTGTGTACTGCCCCACTGCCAAGGAGCATCTCTCCTTGGTGTAGATATGAAAGAATATATATGATAATAT